AAAATATATAAAAAGAAATAAATTCTTACTACGTTTGCCATTGACATAGACTGTGATATAAGAAATAAAAATATATATAAGAAGAAAACAACTTCGCATAATTGTAAAACATCGTCAGCAGAATCAAAACCCTTATCCCTTTAAACTGCGCCGACCAAAATTGAACTAAAAAACAGAGTGAAACGCGTTGTACCATTAAAGGACTCCAAATCTTTTGCTGAAAAGAACCCAATTTTTAGCAGAATATATGCATTAATTCGTGCTTTTAATTCAGATGTACTTTTCTTCTACATCTTTAAACATAGCATTGAAGTTATTAAATGAATAATCGTAGCATATCTTTATTTATTTAACGTGTTGGCCTTGTACAAAAATAGGGAAGTTACTATTGGAAATTTAGATTTAGGAATGAATTGGAATTAAATAGATTTAGGAGAACAAGAAAGCAATTTGAATGTATGGTTTACGTGTGAGTAAATTGAGATTCTACAACAAGTTATTATTACATGATATAATTTAACTGAGTAAATCAGGATTATCTAGAGTTAAATTAGAAAAAAAAAACTCAAAGAATTTTTTTTAAGTGAATAGTTTTTTTTTCATTAATAATTTTTTCATTAGAAAAATTTTACTACATAAATCCTAATTCACAATTGTTTTCCAACGATTCATTTACTATTTTGCAATCTTAAATCACTTTTAAGATGAAAGATGTCCTATTTTCCTTTATTGGTTCCAATGCCCTCTACGTTTTTCACATTATGAGCTTTTGTAGTATATATTTCTTTATTGCATGTGTAATGTTTTTCATAGATTTACATACTTTGTTTTAATGTTTTTATACTAAAACATCTTAAATCCTTTTTCTCCTAGTTTTTAATACTTGAAAAATCAAAGTTTAAACAATATTTACCAATAATAACCATTACTAGGTTTCAAAATAGTCTCAACCTTATATTAGAGATAGAATTGAACTTTTGCCTTACAATGACTAAAGTGAATTAATTCAACTTTGTATTAAGATAGAGTAACAACGGAAAAGAAGGTCTACCTGTAGAAAATACTACCCTGCCACTTCTACCTTTTAAGTACCATTATATGAGGGAGGAGGCATATCCCTCCAAATCTAGGTATAAATGGTCACGATAAAGAGATAGAGAAAATTAAAATAAAAAAAATGAAAAGAATGAGAGGGGAGAAAAAAGAGGAGGAAGAAAATAAAGTGATTAAAGAAAGTAATGGATAAGAAAGAAATGAAAAAGATTCTTCCTTTTTTTTATTTATTTCTAAACTGTGGATTCTCTTACTTTGTTTCCTAGAAAAAAATACTAATTAAGAAAGACCAAAGGAAACCTCAAATAAGCAATTAAGATGAGACTAGTGAAGAAACAAGCATATAAAGTAAATGAAAATTCAAACTAGCCAATTGAATGTCAAGTTTATGGTTATTGGTTTTGTTGTGCATACTAAGTATGATATTTTAATGTTTTATAAATATTGTATGAACTTTCATAAACATTTTTTATTTAATGATGTTGTTTGTGCGAATGACGAGGTTTATAGCCATGAAAAACATCAGTAGACAAATTTCATTTATGAAATGCCTATATTAGAGCTTAATCAATTTGTCATATCTTGCATAGGATTGGATTGATTTTGAAACACATGGTTAATCATTTGACTTTGATGTTGTTCGATGTTTCTCACAAGATGATCTTTGATTCAAGAGGAGGCTATACAAGTCCATTGATAATAAGAGATTTGCCATTTCATGAGATTCAAGATCTCAATTTAGATAACTTTTCTTTTATTTCAGATTTCTTATTCTTTGAGTTTATTTCCAACTTATTTTGTTTGTTTTATGAAGGACTTTTCTACTCTTGTTACTCATCTTAATGAACTTGTTAAGAAGGATGTGCCATTAATATGAGATTGCTGATTATGAGGATGATCTAAATTTGAGGACATATCATTTTCAAGAAGGAGGGTTTGATGGAGGACCATCTATGAGATAACATATTGGACCCTTAACAAGATTCATGGCTAAAAAGATAAAAGAAGAGGAAGCCTCAAAGAAGAAGACTCTCCTACTTTGGAGTATATAACCTATTAACGTTTTCTTATTTCTTCTTAATCTTGTATAAATTGTATAGGTGTATATTTTTCCTTTTATTTTTTTAGAATTTTGTAAAGACACATGTGAGCTAGAGTTGGACTTGAAGTGGGCCTTAAATTGAACCTTTTTAAATGACCAACTGGTAAAAAATAAAGAAGAATTTGGCTAAGTCATGAAGAGGAGGTAGATGAAGCATAAAGTCTCACATCACTTGGGAGAGACCAAAACTAGGCCAAATTGGGGTGCTAGGAACAAGTAAACTTCGACCACTCTATGCTTGAAGTCCAACATCACTTGTATCACCAAGTGAAAGGGTGTTATACATCTATAAATATAAAGTCCCTTGTCTCTTATAAAACTCACCTTTTATCGAATGAAAATTTATTTGTATAAATGTTTGTCTCCTAGTTCTTCATCAAGGAACCTTCCTTGAAAGCGGACATCACCGAGTTTCTCAAGAAACTTAGGAGTTTTAAATAACTTTTAATCTACCTTGACCTGGAGGAGAATAGGATTTCCAATAGTATCCCTGCAGATGAGGTGTTTAAAATGATTATTTTAGATGAGGGCTACAAGAGTAGGCTTAGTCTACATCCAAGCATGACCAAGATGTAAAGACTTGAAGGAGTTCTTCTAGTGGTCTAACATGTTGAGAGAAATTGTACAATATGTCTCTATTTGTTTGACTTTTTAGAAGGACAAGGTGCAAGGTGGAGCATAAAAGATTAGGAAAGATGTTCCAACATCTGGATGTGCCTAAGTGGAAATCAAATAGCATTGCATGTGGTAAATTGTAGACTAACTAATGAAAATTGCTCACTTGTTTCCTATGAATATGAGAATTTCTATAGCCAAGTATGCACAATTCTACATTAGGGAGATAGTGAGATTGCATGGAGTATCATCCTTAGAAAAATGGTCAGTTTATGAGGATGATCAAATCATTGGAACTTCTATTGAGGACATATGTATTTGAGCATTTGGTGAGTTGAGATAAGATGCTTTCACTAGTAGGGTTCACCTATAACAATAATCACAATGCGAGCATTAGCATGATCTTGTTTAGGAGGAATTATATGACTACTCTATCCTAGCATTAAGATCGAGATGCTATCTTGTTAGGACCTTTGTTGATTAAAGTAGGAGGTCTTTGGTGTTTGTAGCTAGAGACCATGTGTTTATAAGAGTTACACCTATCACTAGAGTTGGGAGAGGCATCAAATCCATAAAGTTATTTTGTAAGTTTATTGGATTGTATCAAATTCTAAGAAGGATTGGTCTAGTGGTTTATGGAATTGTTTTAGCACTCAATTGACCAATCTGCATTGAGTATCGTATGTGTATCAAATGAGAAAGTATGTACCTAATTTGAGTCGTGATGGAGGTGGATAAAGTGTAGGTCAAGGAGGATTTGTCCATTGAGATTAGGTTAATTATGATTGAGGAGTTACAAATCAAGTAGCTTAGGGGTATGATTATTAATATGATGAAGGTGTTAATCATTGCACATCTTGTCTCCTAGATGTGATCAAACATTGTATAACCAAAGTTCATGTAGTACTAAGGTTAACTTAAATCATGTCCTCGAGAATAATTGATAAGTATTTTTTAAACTTTGATTTTTAAGTGTCAAAATCTAGGGAGAAAGATGATTTCAAGTACTTTGGCTTAAAAATAATAAAGCAAGTAAACCTATAAATTTGAAAAATAGTAAACTAAAACTGTTTAAAAGTAATTAAAATTGTACAACAAAGTCAATGACATAAAAGTAAACTAATACAGACTACTTAAGTTTGTAAAATTGTGTAGAACATAAAGCTACACCATAAAAAAATATTTAAAATGCATAAAATTTAGAATAAAGTTGTAAATTAAAAGCAATAAAGGAAAGCAGAAAAACATAGTATTAATAAAGCATGTAAAGATTGAGAATGTTAAGAAAACATTTAATTCAAAATTGAAAGTGAAAAAACATAAGTTCATTATTTAGTCATTAGCTTGCTCATATGATTTTCATTTATTTCTAAACCTACTTACAATCACAAGATAGATCTATAAAAGTTATAAACATTTATAACCCAATTGGATTAAAATACAATCAATTTCTAAATGAAACAATCACCTAAACCTAAAAATTGAATTGTGATGCAATATGAGACATTCAATTAAATAATAAACAATTTTAATTATATTGATTGTAATGAATTATAAATAGTTCTAGTCCTGCCCATAATGAAAATTACACTCGTATGTAAAAATGTTCATTAATATATGTTCAAATTTTCATAATGTATTTCCAGAACACAATTCAAAAATGCATTTCGGATCAGCAGTTCTGGAACCCAATTTCAAATTCAGTATTATAGAAATGTGTTCTGAATTCAACAATCTTAATCCCCCCATGTGCAGTTTCAATCCAATTTTCATGCAAATTGGGACGAGTATCTTATAATAAGGTCAAAAGCATAAACAATCTAACATATTTTTGACCTTGTTGAGTGAAAACGATCTTCAATGGAGGTGGAGAGATATCAAAACAAAGATGTAGTAGATATAGAGATGCAAAGGAGATATGGAGGTGCAAAACAGCATGACACAAGAGTAAATAAGTCTTTTAGGATTTCAAACAAAATTAGTGTAAGTATATTTTGGTCATTTTACATGAGTTATGAGAGTGCAAGAAGAAATTATGGGAGTACAAGAAGAAAAGTTCCAAGTCCAAGGTAACAATATTTTTTTTTTTTATATTTGAAGGTTGTAATCCATTTAGTCCCAGTCTGAAAGATATAAAGATAGACAACATTTAAACATTATTAATTTTATTTTACATACAAATTCTCATTCCTTCTTTAAGAACATAATTATATGATACGATCTGTAACCTTTAAATAAGACTAGAATTCTTAATTGTTGGTGATTGCCACACTTGGCACATAGCTTCTAAAGGAAGTTTTCTACCTACAACGACCCATTTTCCTTCGGTCATATCAATTTCTTCTTTACTAGTTTGTTTCCACTCGAAACATTGAATTAATAAGGCCAGAGTTAAGCTCACTGTACGTTGAGCCAAGTTTGCTCCAGGGCAAGCCCTCCTCCCTAACCCAAATGAAAGTAACTTGTTTACTTCACTTCCTTTCTTAAATCTCTCAGGCTTAAATTGTGTGGGGTCACTCCACAACTTTGGGTCTCTATGAATAGCCCAGGCATTCATTAACAAAATTGTGTTTTGTGGGACATTATATTGTCTTACGATGAAATCTTCCGAAGACAAATGGGGCACCAATAATGGAGCAGCAGGATGCAATCGAAGTGTCTTGTAAACAATGCTTTGAAGATAAGGGAGATTTGAAATGTCAGCTTCCTCTACCAGACGATTTTGTTCTATATGAGTGTCTATTTCAACTTTTGTCTTCTTTAATATTTCAGGATGATTTAATAGATTAGACATTGACCATTCTAAAGTTACAACTAATGTATTTGTTCCTGCAAGTAGCATAGTCTGTAAAATCCAACAAAAGAAGTATCAATGATACATCTCATAAGGAAAAAGATCGTTATATAATTTCTTTAATCCATTACTACATAATGACTCTTAAAAAATATATATATTCTTTTGTTTTTACTCTTGAACCAAAATTGATCAATGTTATGTAAGTAAATATATTTTTTATAAAGGAATAAATTTGAATGATAAAATATTCTACATTAATTGTAAACTAAATAAAGCAAGGTTACCTACACCAAACACTAAACTATTCATGTTTACCTATACAAACCCAAAAAGAGTGTTCGACAATAGGATATTCATCCACTTTAGGAATTCTACCCCTATAAATTGACTTGAGAGTTAAATTCAACTGAACTAATTTGACAAAATCTTTTATAAAATGAAAGGGGAACTTTTATAAAGTGGAGAATGAATTTTTCATATGCAAGACAATTTAATTCAATCTCATAAAAATGATTAAATAATAATAGTAACAATAAAATTATTATTGATTTTATTTAATTATTTTATTAATTTAGTATATAATTATTAAATATTAGATTATTTAAATATAAATTAATAAAATCTATTTTCTAAAAATTATTTTTCAAAAATATTAATAAATGTTTTAAAATTATAAAATTTTAATAACTTTAACTTTAAATTTATATCTCAATTAATTGGACTTAATCCAACTTGATATAAACTAATTAGACAGAATGATTCTAAAGAATGCAAAAATTTAATTAAATACAACAATTTTTAATTGGGTGGACGATACATTACATGAAATCATCATTATTGTTAATACATAGAGTTTTAAATATATCATTAAAATTAAGAAAGTATTAACTATTTATTGTGATCTTATGTATTATCATTGTCACTTAAATTACATTATAAATACAATAATGATTATTATAGATTCACAACTTTTTTCTTTATTTGAATTACAGGGATAAACATGACATTATGTATTACTTTTAATAATAAAACAATAATTTTATCAATAAAAATGAAAGTCATATATGTAAAAATAGTTACTTACTAGAACAAGTCCTTTGATAATTTGATCGGTGTAGTCTTCGAGGTTGTGATCGTTGTTGAGTTAGGAGATGATCCATCATAGTATTGGGCACTCGTGTTTTCGATGTTCGTCAATGAGTCCTTGTAAGAATGCATCAATTCTTTGACCAAGTCTTTTCAACCTCTTCTCCAAGCCATCAAAATCAATCAACCTGAACAAAGTCAAGAACTCTCCAGGGTTATTCGCACCTCCTAACATCAACAACTCTTCTGCGATATCTCTGAATTGTTTTGCTTCCTCCACATCACTCACATCACAGTCCTCACCATAGTATCTCTTCCCTGACGCAATCCTCATCATGGTGTTAAATGTTATTTCCGAAAACCTTAATTCATAGATATTATTAAATGATAAGTAATGTAATAAACTATTGTTTTGTTTAAGAGTTACATTAAAATTACCAAAAGTATAAAGCAAATTACATTAAATACATTTGAAGTTTTAGTAAAATTACAAATTTCTCTTATTTTCTCTATTTCTACGCTTACACCCTTTAAGTGTTTAAAAATCATTCTATGGACACATTGTTTACACTACACTCTCTCTTCTAAAGTATTTGAAATCATTACTATGCTTTTATACACTAAGCTACAATGTTGAGTCCATCGCTACCCTAATCAAAGTAGGTTCTTGGATGAATTTTAGTGGAGTTTTAAAATATTCAAAATTGAATAGCATGAAGACGACAAACATGGACCATATCCCTAATTTATCTCAATGGCACCATCACCTCTACTACACAAAGATGACAACCCTTAATAATCTAAAACATGACTAAATACTGACGGAGATATATAGCCCCAACATAGGAAAAGAAAGACAATTTTGGCTCCTTACTTAACATTAGTAGAGAGATCAAGAGAGCAAAAAAACTAGATCTCACCTTTCAGTTTTTGCTAAAACATTTGGCGTCTAAGGGACCGATATTAAAGTTTCGCTCCACTTCTATTCTTTATTCCTCAATTAGGAGATTATATTCTAATATGCTCATAAGTCTTAAAATTCGATGTCAATAGTAGTTCATATACACCCTCCTCTCTCAATATACTGAGACTTCTTTTAAGGACAAAATCATGTTGCACTAGAGTTCTAAAATGAACAATACCTTTGATGTGTCAATAGATCCTTACGATGTTATCAAAGTGGAGATGATACAAAGACACTCTTTGTGTGTCTCATGTAGTGTGGCTTAGAAATCTGTTGAGCTAATTGTGCAGCTTGCACTACTCGTTGCCATGTAACATGACAATGCTCGACATGCAGGTGAGCTTAAAATGATAGGATGAGAGGAGTTGGTCGGTGTCACATGTTGAATAAAGAATGTCCCAACATGACTCCCAGACGAGGTGTTCCTTCAACGAGATTAGTTTCCAAACAAGGTTTACACGACAAATTGGGACCTAATCATGATCGACAAGCCTAAGGGGTGCTTCACAGAAGCATTAGGGCACATGACGATGATCTTCTTGGCGGTGGTGATGGCAAGGGATAGGAAAGACTCCAACATGATGCATTTGTTTCTACATAATGTGGATTGGAAGTGTGGAGCAATTACACTATCTGATAGTGAGAGGGTTCACATAGTGACTTGTAACATGGATGAGAGGAGTCATATTAAGAGCTTGATTGAAGAAGTATGAATAAACATTAGAGGAAACATGTCTTGATCAAGTAAAAGAGTAGAAAAATTCTGGAATACATAAAGATTATTTTGTTCTAACATTTTGGCATCCACCAATTGACATGAATATGAGTCAATGTGTTACTGTGTGATCTTAATCGATCTTTCATGACATGACATGTGATCTTAACTAATCTCCTATGGCATGTGATCTTGATCGATCCCCATTACATGTAATCTTAATTAATCCCTATGGCATATGATATTGATTGATCCCCCATAACATATGATCTTAATTGATCCTCCTACGAGGTATCAACTTGTCAAACTTCAATATTTGAGGTTTATTCTCCAATAAGAAATTATAACTACACGAAAAAATCTTGAAAGTCAAGCACACACAAACCATTATGATTGGGAGGACGAGGAGTATAGTATTAAGATGTTGTTGATCAGTATGTAATAAACTATACCTTAAGATTTTAGCCTCATCATTTAGGGACTATGTAGCATTATGTTGCATACTAGTATACATATCGATTTTTCAATTCGTCAAGAATCTGACTTAAAGGGGTTCATTTAAGACATTGAAGTCTTATTAAGAAGACATGTGTCCCAAGCAAAACTCTATTCTCAAGAAAAACTTTGAATAAAAGTTTCTTAATCCCTAATGTGTTCAAATAGGATTGGTTCATATCTTATCACCTCCATAATTTAGAATCATCGTCTCAAGAGACTAAGAGATTGAGTGTTGGTTAGTTCTAAATTAATATCAATCACACTTGACTTTTACACTTAATGGATAGTTTCATCGTCTTAAAATACTATAAATTGACGAGTTGTGTGTTGGGAATATTACTTTATTATCTTTTATTGTATATTTAATTACACAAAGTTTGTGTTTAAAAGACACCTTATAACTTTTTTTCAATAATTGAGTAACACTTAACAAATTATGATTAATATCAGGAACATATAAAACATCAAAAATTAATTTGATACCCGAATGACTTTTAACTGTAATTGTTCATGTATCTTTCACGTCCATTTGTTCTTCATTATCGATTCTTACTTTAGAAATATGTGATTCGTTGAGCTCTTTGAAAAATTCTCGATCATGAGTCATGTGGTTTGTACAACCACTGTTTATAAGTCAACCTGTGGATTTGTTGTTTATAGAGCATGTTGATGCAATGAGTCGTTCTTCTTCTACTCCATCCTTTATAACTTGAAAAAGTTCCCCTTCTACTTCATCATTTATAATCTTGACGGCTTCTTATGGTTGTGATTTGCATATCTTTTCTATATGTCCCAATTGACCACATTTTTGACACTTCACATCAAGCATCCACCAATACTTATTGGGTGTGTGATTATTTTTCTTGCAATAAGGACAAATAGAAAAGATTCGTGATTTTATACCTTTGTTGTTCTTAGCTTGGAGAAAACCTCCATCATGATATAGTAAAGAACCTTCACAGCAGCATGATCTCCTCTCATCAATCTTCGTTACTTTTGCGCTTGTAAAACATGTAGCACTTCTGTCAAAGTAATATTAGACGATTCCTTTGTATTTTCCAATGAAGAAATATATACTTCATATCTCTCTGGCACAGTTACCAGAATTTTCAAAACTATTTTGGAATCAGAAAATTTCTTTTGTTAACAATACCCAACAATTTGTTTGAGTATTCATTAATTGTTTGAGACTCTTGCATCTTTTGTATCTCAAATTCCCTTATCAAGTTTAGAACTTTCATATCTCAAATTTTCTCATCTCCTTCCTATTGATCTTTCAAATAATCCTAAATTTCTTTGGGTGACTTTAACGTCATGATTCTGGTGAGGATCATTTGTGAAACACTAGCAAATAGACATGATTTAGCTTTTGTCTTTCTCGTTTTTTTTTTCTCTGTAAAATTTCATTTCAGCTATGGTGAGATTTTCAGGTAGTGAATCAACAATATAATTTTTTTCTACAGCTTGTCATACATCCAATCCTTTAAGATAAAATTGCATTCTCACAGTCCATAAGTCATAACTTTCGCCATAAAAAATTGGAATAACGACTTGTGAGTAATTTCTTTTTCCTTCCATTGTATCGAACCAAAGCTCTTGATACCACTATTGAGAATTTTTACGGTTTTGTATATATGTATTTCTGATATATCATGTGGGTATATTTCTATTTATGTACTCTATGTATATATAGAGTAAAAATATTACAAAATATCAAATATCAATAATATTTCAATCATAACTGTCTAAATCAAAATAATAACCTAATATCTTTTTACCTTCCCTCTTAAAAGATAATAAAATCTCTTAATACATAAAAGAAAAGTCAAAGAAAAAACATGAAGAAGATTTCTTGGAGGAACTAGATGTTAAGGAAGAAAATAAAGATGTAGATGAAGAAAGCTGTTTTCAATGTCCAATAAAGAATCAATAGTACTACCATGAAGTTCGAAAGAAAGAAAGGAGATAAAATTGATAAAAAAAGAAATATTTTGATGAAAAAAATGAAATTGAATGAAAATGTGATCTCATACAAGAAAGAAGATGACAAGAAATACAAATAAAAAAGGAGAAAACATTATAAGCAAAATAAAAAAAATATTAAATTCAAATAAATAGATATTAAAATAAAGAAGAATGTTAGGAATGTTACTTTATTATCTTTTATTTAAATTAGATATTAAGATATTTTATTATCATTTAAGAGAGAAGATAAAAATATATTAGGTTTTTATTTTGATTTAGATAGTTATGATTGAGATATTATTAATATTTGATATTTTGTAATATTTTTACTATATATATACATAGAGTACATGAATAAAAATATACCATGTAATATATAAAAATTCATATTTACAAAATCCTACAAATTTTCAACAATATATTGATATACGCTACGTTTCAACTTTAGATCAATCGAACCATTCACCCCAGTGTACAAGGATAACAAACTCACAGTAACTTAAACCGTAACTCACATTCAAGATATATTTAATTTCAAAAATGAAAAAGAAAAGATTTTTATTTAACACTAACATATAATGGAAAAAAAACACATCTCACCTCCTTTTTTATTCTAAAATATTTGGTTAAATTATATTTTTATATTATTAATAAAAAATATTTCTTAATTAGTATTATAAGAATTCTCCTTTACATTTTCGAAGATACTATAGAAAAAATAATGATATAAACATAATTTTAATCCTTTTATAATTTTTTTTAATTTTATTTTGAAATAAAAATATTTAGTCTCTATCTCTAAAAAATGATGAGTTTAGTTAATTATCTAAATTAAGACATTAAATCTGAAGATATTATTATTAACTTATATATAACATATTAATATTCAATTATTTATAACATGCTTTAATCGATATGGAATCAGATTATAAGAAAATTTGTATTTAATCCTACAAATCATAGTAAAAATTTCTTTAATAATAACTCACATGGATTTAAGTTGTACTTTGGCGAATCCGTTGCGAGAGTCGTGAGCGAGCTTTCGCACGAGCCTCATGATCTCGTCCCTTCGGATTTCATAGAAGGAGTTTAAACGGTGCGTTGAGAGAACCTCCAGCGCCAAGATGCGGCGGAGATTGCGCCAGTGGTAGCCGTAAGGGGACTGCAGAGCGGTGGTGTTGTCGTAGCTGATGTACTTGCTGTTGGAAAATTAATAATAATAATAATAATAATAATAATCCTGATTTTGATTCTAACAATCAAACATAAACATAATCCCATACTGATAAACATGCTGTAAACTGAATGCGAAAGCGTACCTGAATTAGCCATAACGATTATGTCTTTGTAGAGCACTATATTGATCTTATGGTCTTCCACCTGAAGAACACCTGTATTTTCCTCTTGATTTTCTCTCTTGATGGGGATAGAAAGAAAGGAACGGGACTGATACTTACGTTCTGTGTGTGCTCTCAGAAGGGGACCATGACCCTTTAGATAACCAGAATTAGGTTAATTACTTAAGTTTTAGTATTTCCAATTTGGCCCCTCATCAAATTAGAAATTGCTCTATGGTCTCTACACAATTTTATTTTCATGACATATGCTTTTAGCCAAAACTTGAATTTAGTCATATCACTTTATTATTTGGCTTAATAAATAATGACCCTAACACATTTAAATTATGTATCATATATATACATGACCCAAATTTTTCCAACAATCTCCCACTGGTCACAAATATATATGTCCTTACAACCTTACAAATGTGTTAGACTTTATGAGCTCAAAATTGCCATTATATTCCTTTAGCATACTCCAAAAGTCCTGTCCATTAATCATATTAGGATATAGAACCAAACCAGCTTTTCATTGCATCATCGCAACTAAAACCAACAATGATTACTCATCCTAACATAACCAAATGACATGGATTCATCATGAAATGTGTAGCATGAAAAATTACGTGAAGGTGATCTGTACACGTCTATTTTCAACTGGTCCAAACTTTAAGTTATTGAGATCGATATAATATCCTTAATGTACAAAGTGTAATGAATGAACGAAAAAACCGCATATCTATAGATAACCAAATATGTCCAAAAAACAATGTATACATATATGAAATTAAACATAGAACATAAAATATATAAAAGTGACTAACTCCCACTAAACCACAAATTCCTCAAATTGTAAAACACCCATGTGAGCAAAATGCTCATGAAAGACCTTGGGCTGAAGTCCTTTAGTCAGAGGATCTGGTATCATGGAGTTTGACCTTAAGTGTTCTATGAAAATCTGTCCACTTTGTACTCTTTCCTTAACAATACAGCTGATTTATTGTCACAATATAACTTAAGTGGTCTTTCAATGCCTTTCACAATTTGCGACCCTGTGACAAAATTTATCAGCCATATTCCATGATTTGATACATCATAGCAAGTTACAAATTCTTGACATCCTACAAAATCCGAGTCAGAAAACCCAGCTGATCTCCAATCTGGTCTGACCTCCTATATGTGAGCATATAATATTTTGTTCTCTTTAAATATCTTATGACCCTTTTTGCTGCTTTTCAATGGTCTATTCCTGGATTGCTTAAATATCTGCCTAGAACCCCAACTATATATGCTATGTCTAGATGCATACATACTTGGGCATAGATCAAACTCCCTACAACTCGATGCATAGGGAATCTTTTGCATTTCCTCAATTTCCAAATTCCCTTTGGGCACTTGATTGAGACTAAACTTGTCTCCCTTTAAACTTGTGATACATACAATCATCAACAATATTCATCTTGAAGCCAAATGAGTTTCATACCTTCTGGTAATGGGACAAGTTCCCAATAACCTTATTGTCTTGCATGGACTTATACTTATCCTATTGCTTCAATCCACTTTTGAGATTTAGAACCTTATATAGCTTGACGGAAGTTAACTGGATCATCTTCCATTATATCATTATTTTCCTCATGTTCCTGAAGAAATACCATGTAATCATCCGAAATAACACTTCTTCTTTCTCTAGTGGATCTCTGCAAAGTTATTAGCTCATGATGCACGGGTTCTTGAGGATCTTGAGTTTGTTCTTCATGAACAACCAAATCATCTTGAGTAAGGGGTTCATCAACAATGCCTTGTGGAGGTTCCGAACTTACTTTATCAAAAGTAACTATTTGAATTGGTTCTGAAATTGTTACCGATTCTTCCTCCAAGATGAAGTTCTTAATCTTATTCTTCCCCCCAAACTTAATATCCTCAAAGAACGTAGCAGCTTCCTGTCTCAAAAAATGTCTTTAATGTGGGATCATAAAATTTATATCCCCTGGATCTTTCAGACATAACCAATAATATAACCACTTACTGTTCGGAGTCCAATTTCTTTTCATTTGACTTATAAGGTCTTGCCTCAACTGGACAATCCCACACATGGAAATGCTTCGAGACTAAGTTGTCGCCCAATCCAAAGCTCATAAGGTGTTTTGGTAGTTGCTTTAGTTGGTACTCTGTTTAGAATATAAGCTGTCATATTTAGTGTCTCTCCCCAAAGTGATTCCAGTAAGGTGGAATGACAAATCATACTCTCTACCATATCTTTAAGAGTGTAACATAAGCCCAAACGTTACAATTTGATGTTACCTGAGCACTTGTGCCATAATGCACTTGAGTAAGTATTTTCAATTTTACGTTTAGTACCACATGATTCTGCATTAAGGGTTTCATTATAGGTGGCCACAATATCAAGTAAATACTGATTATCATAAATTAAAAGTGAACCAGTTCCAACAATATCTGAATTAAAAGACAAACTGAACTTATTGTTTCCAAATGAACATAAATAACCTAATTTGTCCAAATAAGAAACTCGAAACCAAATTCCGTCTAAATGACTCGCATAACAAAAGTGTCTTTCAAATTCAAATAAAAAATCAGTACTTAATAATAATTTAAAATGACTTATAGCTTCCACCTCTACCGATTTGTCATCTCCAACATAAATCCATCTTTCAGAATCAATTGACTTCGGTAGTTTAGGCAACCCTTTCTTTTCACGCCAAGCATGATATTTAGCACATTTCTTCTTTACGTGTCCAATCTTATTGCAAAAGAAATATTTGTTTTCTTGAGTTTGTTTCTTTTGTTCTGGACCCTTAGCACCTTCTTTCTCGAGATCCTCTGATCTCTTTCTTTTTGCCCTTAGCCTTGGAGGTGCTTGCAAAAAATGAGTACTTTCTGTCTTGTCTTGCTTTAGTCTTTCCTCTTCTTGTACGCAATGTGAAATGAGCTCATTAAGAGACCATTTATCCTTCCGACAGCTTGTAAGATACCTTAAATTGATTAAACGTTGCAAGAAGAGAAATCAACACCAAATGAATGAGCAAGTCTTCCGAGAGTTCAAGCTTTAGTGCCTTGAGTTTAAAAACAATATTAGACATGCTCATAATGTATTCCCTGATATTTCCTTTGCCTTGATATTTCATGGAGATCAAGTTCTGAAGAAGAGTGCTTGTCTCCGCCTTATCGCTTTTTGCAAAGCGCTGCTCAATTTCAGCAAGGAATTCTTTGGCACTTGTGATGTTTTCAGAAACAGTTCCCCTAAACACCTCCGGGATGCCACGCTTATTGATCATTAGACTCATGCGATTTCAGCGATCCCACTTCTCATAATCTCTTTTCTGTTCAGAGGTACTTGAATCCGTAAGAGTAGGGGTTTGCTCAGTCCTTAACGCAAAATCCATATCCATGCAACCAAGAACAATATCAATGTTCTCTTTCCAGTCCTTAAAATTTGTTCCATTGAGGACCGAAACAGAATTTAAATTGGCAGATACAGAAGCAATTGTAGCTGAATTTAGAACACGAGAAATAAACTAATTATGCTCACATTATATAAAAAATAAATAATATATATTCAAATAGTGGTTTAACCCATCTCAAGATACCCAATGCACCATCAATATCAAGTCTTTGGACAGTGAATATTAACTGCTAGAGGTATCTTGTTGTAATAATCAAACATTGACAATAAAGCACGTCCAACAACAAACCAGTCTTTGGATTGATTTATCATCGACAAAGCAAATCCTTATAATTATCACATGTTTATCATTACAAGTGTGTATGCAATTCGGCCAAATATTAATCTTCCTTTCGGGCTGACTAATACTCGCATGAATATACACAAACACTAACATTCAATATTTTTCATGAACTGCCCAATTCAAGAGAAGTTACTTTGGTGACTTCTTGACTCAATTTGCTCACAAAAAATATTAAACTACCAAAAATTGAATATTTTATTTATATAACAAAACCAAATATTTAATATTTGCAAACTAATTCAAAAGAGAATCACCTCATTATAATTCTACTAAGGATGAACATCTCCCTAGAATCTCATTAGGGATGAACACCTCATCCGAACAAATCAAAGGATGAAAAAAGGCCTCATTTTCCACCAATACCTAAAGGATGAACATCTTCCTAAAATCACACTAGGGATGAAACAGTAGATAGTTCTAGTCTCTTTAACATACTACTCTAAACCCTAAAAGGGAATTAAACAGGTAATCACTCGAACTCTAATTTAACATCAAATTTTCTTTAAATTCCTAGGGGATAGAGACAATAAAATAATAACAGCCAAACATGTGGAAACATTCATCATTTACCTAAGATTCTCTGTATTGGGAACTCCACAAACACCACCCCCAATTCCAAACCCATAAAATTAAATAAAAACAAAAGATTCAAAAAAAGAACAGAGAACCCAATACAAGAAAAATTGAAATATGAAACACTGTTTCTTTCTCAGTAAAACTTGAAACATAAACTGAAACAAAAGTGAAAAACGAAGAACAAGAAGAATCCATAGCTTCTTCCACGGTTCCATCAGCAAGCAGAATCAGATTGGGGATGTTACCCCCAAATTTAAATTTTAGGGTTCACAAAAATTAGAGATTATCCTCCACTTAGGGTTCATAAAATTGGGTAATCTGAATTGTTTAAAACAAAATTAATCCTAATTTTCATAATTAGGGTTCTATAAATTAAACAGACATGAATCAAATATGGGCGGCTCTGATACCAATTGTTGGAAAATTAATAATAATAATAATAATAATAATAATAATCCTGATTTTGATTCTAACAATCAAACATAAACATAATCCCATACTGATAAACATGCTGTAAACTGAATGCGAAAGCGTACCTGAATTAGCCATAACGATGATGTCTTTGTAGAGCACTATATTGATCTTATGGTCTTCCACCTGAAGAACACCTGTATTTCCCTCTTGATTTTCTCTCGATCGGGATAGAAAGAAAGGAACCAGACTCGATACTTACGCTCGTGTGTGCTCTCGAAGTGGACCATGACCCTTTAGATAACCGCAATTAGATTAATTACTTAAGTTTTAGTATTTCCAATTTGCTCCTCATCAAATTAGAAATCGCTTCTATGGCCTCTACACAATTTTATTTTCATGACATATGCTTTTAGCCAAAACTTTAATTTAGTCAGATCACTTTATTATTTGACTTAATAAATAATGACCCTAACACATTTAAATTATGTATCATATATATACATGACCCAAATTTTTTCAACACTTGCCGATCAGAAAGTGGGGCCGGTTCGCCAACACGATGTCGTTTTTGGTGAAGCATTCTTGCACCGTCGAATACGACGAAACAACGACAACGAGACGGGAACCGAACCAAAGAGAGAAGATTTGGCCGTATTTTTGCGAGATAAGATGGAACGAACGGTGGAGAGGTTGTTTGAGTTGATGGAGGTTTCCGAATATAGGGTAAGAAAATGGTCCTGGAGGAAGATTCCTGAATCTTCTTGTTTGGAACAACAGCTTCAGGGAAAAGATAAGAAGCATAAATACCAGGGAGAAATCAAATAGAGTCATGCTCCAAACTTTGCATTCCCATTTTTACCTCTCAATTTATATAGGAATTTGTCTACAACAATATATAAATTATTTATTTTATCTTTGCTAATGTTTTAAAATCAGACAGAGTAATCACCATGTAAATAAAAAATAAAATATTATTCTTAATATATTAAATAATTATACAATAAAACAAAATCCAAATAACCTCCGACTCTACAAACAGATAAGAATATGGTAACATTAATATAAATATTGAATTTTAACTTATTAAAATATATTTTTCCATAAAATATTAAATTAATATAATAATATATATTAGTTTATATAGAAATTAAAAAAGTTATATAATATAATTTTTATAACTTAAATTATGGGGTAAGTTCATTTTAATTTTTATATTTTTAAAATCATTATAGAGACGCATGACAAAAAGACAAAAGCTTAAATGGAATTTCGGCGTGGGTTGCGTTTGAGCTTACGTAACCAATTTTAATGGATTTGACAAGGATAAAGACACGCTTCGAAGTACAGTGTATGCGAAAATAAAAACAAAATAAAAAAAAGGGTAGGATCTTATATTTTAAAATAAGATGTAATTTTTTCATTGTTAGACCTTTTGATTAATTTGAAAATTAAAATATATATGTATAATATAGCTATATAGAAATAATTTATTCAAAAAATTAAAAATAAATTGAATAATTAATTAAAAAAATATTATCAAAATTTAAATTATATTATTAAAATTAATATTACTAAAATATAACAATTTGATATATATTTATAAAAGAAAATAAATTCACTTAAAAATAATAATTACAGATTTGATTTTTATTTTCATCCTTTATTTTTTTAGTGGTATAAAATATAAAATATATTTTATTGTAACTCTTATTCTTGAATTATCAATTGGATCCAATAAAGAGGTTTTATAATAGGAGTAGATGTTAAGGCTTTCTTTAAATAATAAAAGGATTTCATGGATTTATCATCAAAATTTATTACCTCTTTGTGCAATAATGTAGATAATGGAAGAACAATCTTAATAAAAAATTTAATAAACCTTTTAAAAAAAACATGTGTATCTAAAAAAGAATGATGTTTTTTAATAGAAGGGGAATAAGGCACAAGTGCAAAATGTATTTTCTAATTCAATTTTTTTTCGTTAGATTAGTTATTATCCTAAGTGAAATTTATATCTAATGTAATACATGCTCGACATAAATTACACTTTTTACATCAGACCCCGTATGGTCTAATGTAAAATTTATTTTATATCTCCTTCAATAATTCGTTTTTCTTATATGCATGAGGATTTTTTCTTGAGAGACTACGACTGTGATGACCAATACATGAGTTTCTTGAGCGTTTTTTTACCACAAATAGTGACGACACTATCATTGTAACTCATTAATGCTTCTAAATATTTCTTCCCTATTGAATTGGAACATTGGGATATCTACTATGTGATTGAGGTTAGTGTTCTACGTCTTATATTTTATTGAAATTGAAATCATGATTGTTTTTATAGATCTTCATTATGTTAATGTATGCATGTCTCCATTGGATAGTTATTTTTTAATATCTAGAGGAACCCAAGGTAAAGGAGAAAACACTAGAGAACTCAAGACAAAGGAGAAACAACCAAAAGAATCTAAAATGACACAAGAGAAGAAGGAAGAAATTGAAAAAAATTAGCAGAACAGAAAAAACCAAAAAAAGAGAAAAATGAATAAGTCACTCCTCTGTTGCCACTCTTCTATTATCATCATTGCTTGGAAAAATTAGAAAACTCAGTCACAATTGCAAATCTGAGAAAACAAATCCTCTAAATTTACATTGATTATGTTAATAGCCAACATGAATTTTGATATTTTTACGTCGTACAACTATTCTAACATAAATTTATGTCTTTTGTATTGACGTCAAAACTTAGTCAGACGTAAAAATGTCAAAATAACATACGTAAAAAGTCTTTTGTGTACTAATGAGACAATTAAGAAATAATATTTAATTTAGTTGGATTAACTTGCATACCTTCTTTAGAAATTTTGTGACTTAAATAACCATAAAATGACATTTTTTATAATTTAACACAAGATTATTTTCAACATATTACTTCAATATTTTATTTAAATTGTCAAGGAAAATATGAAAAGAAGAATCATAAACAAAAACATCATCCATAAATACTTCAATACATTACTCCAATAAATAAATAATAAATACTTAGCATATATCTTTGAAATGTACTAGAAGCATTACATAATCCAAATTATGTTCTTCTATAAGCAAATGTACCAAAAGAATAAGTGAATGTAGTTTTATGTTGATCTTTAAGTGCAATAAATATTTGAAAATAACTAAAAAAACTCATCAAAAAACAATAATGAGATTTACAAACTAATATTTCTAGCATTTGATCAACAAATGGTTATGGAAAAGGATCTTTCCTAGTATGTTAATTTAACCTTCTATAATCAACACAATCTCTTCAACTAATTTTAACTCTTTGTAAAATTAATTCACTTTTTTCATTTTTAATCTTAATTAAACCAAATTTCTTAGGAACTAGGTATACAAGACTTACCCAAGTGCTACTAAAAATAAGATAAATAATACCTACCTACAATAATTTAGTAACCACTTTCTTAAATACATCCAAAATTTTGGGATTAACCCTTCTTTGAGGTTATCTAATAGGTTTAGAATTATCTTCTAATAAAATCATATACATGCGTAAATAAGGACTAATACCTAAAATATCATACTATAACCTTTTCATTTTTCTTAATTATAAAAAATTATTTGTAATTTTATTCAACATTCAACAAATTAAAAATAATTATAGTAAAAGAATCATTATATCTTAAAAACATGTACTTTAAATTAGTAAAAGAATGATAGGCTCTTCAGTTTCAAAAGAATTAAAATATTTTTCTATATATTTTTTATTGTTTTCTTTTTTATCTCATTTTTGTTGAGCATATTGATGACACACATTTTGTACACACCTTTACACTTTATTGTATAGTAAATTCAATTTTCATATGCTTTATTTTTAGTTTTTAACTTATTTCCTTTCAATAGTAATAAATTGGATTCAATTTACATTTGCTTTATTTTGTATTTTCAACTTATCTAACTTTTTGCTCATTATTTTAGCTATATCTTTTTCTGTATACATTATTTTCTATTGATTCTAGTTACATTGGATTCCATATTTCAAAGGCTTTAAAATGGACATATGGTTTTCTAGATTTGGAGTTTTCTATTATTGTTTATAATTTTTAGATGTTGAAACATAGTTATTGAAATTTTGTAAAACAGTCCATGTAAATAAATTTTTTATTAACTTAAACTTTTTTATTAGGCTTATAGACCTAATTAGAGCTTACATTTAGGCTCAAGTTGCATCAAATTTTTAAGCATTTAAATAGCGTAGATAAGCCTTAAATTAACATAAAATAAAATCATTTTACTAAATTTTTGATCTTAGGACTGTATGTTCATCTTCTCTCATTTCTATTTTTGACTTTTCCTCTTCTTCTATAAAATTTGTTTGGACTTTTTCATCCACAGAGAACTAAATCCCTAGGATCAATACACAAAATCAATATCGAATAAGTCGAATTGAAGTTTGCACGGATAGTTTATCGCTCCGAATTTATTATAATCATCTTCTCTAATCTTAGTTTTGCTTTTTATGATTGCAAATTTGTATTACTAATTTTAGAATCATATTAGGAATTGATTGAATTTTGACTTGATGATTAAATATGAATTAGATTTAATAATATTTTGATTTAATTCATATAACTAGTTTAATTGATTAAAGAAATGATTAATTATTTAAACTTGAATCTAAATCTTCAGTGTTATAAAAGGATTTTTTGTTCTTGAATTTGTGGATTGATGTATTTTCATTTTCAATTTGAGTTTTACATTTTCAAATCTCTGTATAGAAAGAATATTAAAATTTAAATACAATCACTATGTTATTGACAGAATCAAGCTAGGTTTATTCTTTATATTACAGAATTTTAGAGAAAACTTAAAATATTTAATTTTATGAATGATAATGAAAATTTCGCATTAATAAATCACTCAATCATCCCTTATTTTTTGAATTTTCAAAAGTTTAAAATGCTAAAGTTTTTTCGCTAAACGAATTTAGTATTCGCTTAGTGCTTTTCTCCAGAGAAGCATCAAGCATTGTCAGCTTTCGCTTCACGGCACAACTAGGAATCTGTACATCTTTTTGACCACCTTGACCAGTCTTTTAATCCATTAAAAACCGCCTTGAGCAAGATCAAAGTCCGGAAGAATGATTGGAAGGAAATCCTCCTATCAAGTTGAATCGTTGAAACCTGGTTTCAATGGCAACAAGGATAAAATGTCTCTCTTCATACAGGAGATAAGCAGGAAGCAAGTGAATGTATCTAAGGTTTTGAAGTTATCATGGTTGGATGATGAGAAGTTTATGCGTTTGTGAATGCTTCTTCAACACCAGAAACTATAGACCTTTATAGAACCTAAGGGTAGAATTTATCTCATGACTCATATTTTATACTCACATTTTTAGTCTTATTGTATTTTCTAAGTGTTTCTATCTCTCTTATTCTTGATTTTTAGCATAGATTTGCATTTTTCGTAGTATATAAGAGTGTAATAAATTCTGCATAAATACTGAATTTTCTGCTGGAATACTATATTTTTGCTACACTGACCTTAACTAATTGTTTGCATTAGATTTATGACTCTGAGCTTCAATATGGATTGTTGGAACATGACGTTTGGAGTCTGTAGCCAATTGAAATAAATCATGAAAAGCTGCAGCAGAATAATAGTTTTAGCAGATTTTGTACTTAAGGATAGTTTCTTAATTTATCTCACTGTAGCTTCCGTGGGCCCATTTCGATACTTCTAAGGCCCATGATCAATTCTTCATTTTAGAATAGTATAAATAGATGATAGTTAAAGAAATAAACATGTGTATAATTTAGTTT